AGGCGGCCAAGTCGCGGGAGCTGGAGAAGGCGGAGTGGAGGGGGCCGGGAGGAGGCGCCTCGGGGTCCCCCGACGGGGTGGGCTCCAGGGGCCCCCCACAGATGAGATGGAGCTGGGACATGGAGGTGGCCTGGTCTCGTTTGTTGCCCTCGGAGGGCCCGGAGAGCTGCAGCTTGCGGTGCTGTTGCCTGGGCTTCAGGCAGCGCCTCCTGGAGAGGAGAAGGCAGACGAGTCCTTAGGAAAGGGCCATTCGGAGCAGCTCCCTAACCCACAGCTGCAAGATGAGGGGTGGAAGCAGTGGAAGGATCGGGACAATGCCTGGGACTAAGGCATCCGGCCAACCAAACAGAAACTCCTGGGAGAAGTTTGTGGAAAGAGCTTGTGTGTCTGTGGGAGGTCCAGCCAGCAGCTGTGCCCATTTGGGTCCCTTTCGGGTAAATTGCACGCCTGCGCAGTAGGAGATGCAGGGGATGCGGTGAGAACCTGGGAGGATGTGCGAGCCCGAGGCCCCATGGAGGTGAGAGCTGGGCTGGTTGTCTCTGGAGGGGCCTGCCCTGCCGGTCCTGCCTCCTCTCTCAATTGCACGCCTGCGCAGTAGGGGATGCAGGGGAGAACCTGGGAGGATGTGCGAGCCCGAGGCCCCGTGGAGGTGAGAGCTGGGCTGGTTGTCTCTGGAGGGGCCTGCCCTGCCAGTCCTGCCTCCTCCCTCCCGCTTGTCTCAAGCCACCAGCCTTTCAGTCTTTGCATGTGCATATGCCCTGCTTTCCAGTCGGCGCCTTGAAGATCAGGCTGCGCTTTTATGCATTTGGAGGCCTGAGCACCCAACACAAGGCCGGGCCTAGGGTGGGCCTCCGTGTGCATGGGATGAGAGAAGGTGGGGTCTGGATATCACTCACCGGCAATAGTAGATGAGCAGACACAGCAGAATGAGCACCAGTAGTGCCAGGGCGGCCAGGATGGTGAGCAGGAAGATGGTATGGTAGGTGCCGATGTCCTGGATGCCTGTTGTGATGGTGACCAGTCCTGTGCCAGGCAAGGGCTTAGCGTTCCAGGTGTGGATGCCCTTCCTGCCTTTCAGAAGGAATCCACTCTGCCAGCCTCCCCTTCCCCTACTGCCCCCTGTCCCCCCTACCACACTCTCACCAGTCGTGGGGGAGGCCATGGCAGCCGCCCAGTACCCCAGCTGGGGGGAGACAAAGGTCCAGTAGAGCTGCCGGCCTTCCTTCCGGATCACACCGGTGCCGTTGCGTACCCACAGCCCTGGGAGAAGCAGGGGTTGCATCAGATTCGATGTCCTCCCATCTAAGTCTCTATCCCCACACTCCAGCCCCGGCAACTCCCTGAGGCACTCACCACTCTTGGGATCAAACCTCCAGGCTGGAATGCTGGTGCCCACAGCCAGGGCGCGAGGCTCCGAGGGCACAGGCAGAGACAGGTGAATGGGGCCCGAGAGTGGTACTTCCGTTCCATTGCCTGTCAGCAGGTGCACGCTCACGGCAGCCAGGGGCATCAGCTCCAGCCAGGAGCCATTGCCTAGGGGAAGGGACACCGAGCTGAGGGGTAAGCCCTCGAGGTGGGGGACATCCCTTCCGTGCCTGGCACCCAGCATACCTGAGCTGGAGGCCTCGGTGCCCAGGAAGGCAGGGAAAGCCCGCATTTCCTGCTGGGTGCTGGCAGGTGTGAGCGAGGCCCAGAGCTGGCTGTAGGTGGAGCTGACAGGCAGGCGGGCAGCCTGCCGTTGGAACTGCACCCAGGGCTGGGAGCGGGCACCTGATTGAGAGAGGAGGGACTGCAGTGGCCTGGCCAGGGGCAAGGCTGCCCAGAGACCAGAGCGGAGAGCAAGTATCTAAGGAGAGGGGGAGCTAGCGGGTCAGGCCACTGGGGAGGCCAAGAAGGGTGGTGACTTGGGAGAAAACTGGGCAGTTGTAGAATGTTAATTTGGAAGGAATGTGGACCAGAACCCTAGCCCTGGCTGTATGACCTGGAGCAAGTTGCTCTCTGAAGCAGTTTCCTTATCTATAATAATAAAAGCGTAATATGCTAATTAGACCAGACAGCCGAATGACCTTCCGGGTGTCCTTCCGGACGACCTTCCAAACATTGGGCCTCTAGTTAACCTGTAAAGTGATGAGGTTGAGGTCCTCAAACAATTACTGTCTCCAGTGCGGCAGGCACTGTGTTAAGTGCCGGGGATACAAAAATGAGTAAGATACAATGCAGGTTCCCAGCCTTCAAGTTCCCAGTCCAGTGTGGTGTGGTGTGAGGGTGCCCATTTCTGCTGTGGTAGATGGAAATGTTCTACGTGTGTGGTGCCCATTACAGCGCCCACAGACACACATGGCTACCAAGCACTTGAACTGTGGCCAGTGCAGTGTGACTCAGGAACTGGGTTTATTTTTCATTTTAAAAAATGTAATGGATTTGCCCTGACCGGTTTGGATCAGTGGATAGAGCGTCGGCCTGCGGACTGAAGGGTCCCGGGTTTGATTCCAGTCAAGGGCATGTACCTCGGTTGCGGGCACAGCCCCAGCAGGGAGTGTGCAGGAGGCAGCTGATCGATGCTTCTCTCTCATCGATGTTTCTAACTCTCTATCCCTCTCCCTTCCTCTCTGTAAAAAGTCAATAAAATATATATTTTTTTAAAAATGTAATGGATTTTTAATTCATTTAAATTTAAATAGCTACGCGTGGCTAGTAGCTACTGCATTAGACAGCTTAGGCTCTGCATGTTGTCTGCCTGCCTTGGGGTGGAGAGGATGTGAAACGGAATTCTGATACAATAAGGTAATAGTAACTTTTGTTAAGCTTTGATATGCTGGGCACTGTTCTAAGCCGGTTATCTATATTAAAACCCTGTAATTAGCACAACAGTCCCTGACTAGGTACCTTTATCATGGACCCTATTTTATAGGATGGAAATGGAGGCAGGAGAAGGTCAGTAACTTGGCCAGGTCACAATCCTGGAGCCTGACTGAAGCCCAGGACACATCTGTCACCACGGTTCTATCCCGCCTGGCTATTACAGTACCGGGTGCAGGTGCACGAGGAGTGCGGCCGCCCAGCTCCGAAGGCCCTGTGGCACCTGGCAGGATAGGACAGCCAGGAATGAAGGGGGAAAGAAACCTGCAAGACTGCCAGGAGCAAGGCCCTGGCACTAAGCAGCCTGCTGACCAGGGGCCTCCAGGTGACTGGA